TATCTGTATGAGTGTATTGCCTACATGTATGTGAGTGCACCCGTGTTGTGCAATGCTGCAGAGATCAGAAGAGGGCTTTGGATCCCCCTGGAATTGGAGTTAAGGACGGTTCATAGCCGCCATGTGGGTGCTGGGAATCAAACCCAAGTCCTCTGCAAGAGTAGTCAGTGCTCTTAACTGCTGAGCCATCTCTCCAGCCCCAATAATTATTACCATAATATATATTATCCCTAGCTATCATTATTGAATTTATTGAATATCTATTTGTGTGTTAGTGAGATGGCTCAGTGGGTAAAGGCACATACGGCTAAGTCTGATGACCCGAGTTCAGTCCCTGCAACCTACACGAACCTACAAGTTGTCCAGTTGTCCTCTGACCCCCTGCCCCCCCACAAAGAAAGAGACAGAGAGAGAAAACAATTTTTTAATTAAAAATATATACTTGCTGGTGCAAAGTTGAATTGACTAGATGAGTAATTTTAGTGTCTGTCAAGTATATGGATATTTATAACTCACTACTGCCCTTTATATAAGCTGTTTTGCAATTAATACTTAATCTAAGTTTATTTTGTCTGACTTTGTCATCTGAACGTAGTTAACATGCTGATAGCCGGGGTGTGCTCGGTGTTATACTTCCCTCTAGTGGTAAATATAGAAAACTGCAGTCATAAGGATTGGGAGGTTTGATTTTTCTTTCTCCTCTTTTAATTTCTTGTTACACTTCTTTTCCATTTTTTTTAAATGTGTATGCATGTATTGCCTGCGTGTAGGTAAGTGCACCTGCGTCGTGCAATGCCCTCAGAGGTCAGAAGAGGCTGTCGGATCCCCTGGGACTGGAGTTATGGACAGTTGTTAGCTGCCATGTGGGTGCTGTGATTCGAATGCAGGTCCTCTGTAAGAGTAGCCAGTGCTCTTAACCACTGAGCCATCTCTCCAGTCCCACCCTCTTACTGAAGCCTTACTCTCATCAGACTGCAGGTATGTCACAGAGAACATGACAAGGCAGATATATACTACCTGAAGTTCCTTTTGGAATCATACATAGTTTGGTTAAATAGGTTAAAATTGTATAAGATTAGCAGTTAAAAAAGGTTAAAAAAAAAAACATGGATTGAAAATCCATCTGCCTGACTTCAAATCCTAACTCACCACTTAATGAGCTGTGGGAACCTGGGAGATTTACTGGGCCTGAGATTTTCTATGCCTAGTTCCTCATCTACTGAGTGGGGCTAACAAAAGTCTATGTCCATAATACTGATGTGGGGACTGAATGAGTCAATATACAAAGTAGTAAGTGCAAACAATGGTAAGTGCATATAGCACCATTCAAAATGGAGTCCCTGCTAATGGTCAGTAATGTAAACCACAGCCCACTCTCAAGGTGTAAGAGAAGTTCTCAGAGACCCACATGCTCCTTCCCCACTGCCCAACCCAAGGCCACATCAACCTCATAAGAACAGTAACATGGAAAAGTACCAAACATGACACTGCAGCCAAGTTCAGCTCTGATTAGTCTTTGGTCACCAGGCAAGTGAAACATGGAATGTTAGCACTGTGAACTCACTGTTCCTTAGAGTGCACTGTCTGGCCTCATTTTACAGCGGAGGAACCTGATAGAGAATAACTCCATTCTCCTGATAAGAGTTCCCCAACAATCTAACTGCCTAATGCTATGAGTCTTTGTAAGTGCAAGTAATTTCCATAAAGAGGAAAGGACAAAGCTGTGGCCAGCCAGCCACAGACTACCCCTCCCTTGGTTTTTCCACACTGGAACAGAAACTGGCACCAAAGCAAGTCCATCAGCTCAGAAACCCAGGGAGCCGAAAGCAAACTCATCTCTAGACAGAAAAGCTTTCCTGCCCCAACTTTTAAGAACGAAACCATTTTCAAGAACACTGTAAGAACTATCCTGGCAGATTGAAAAATCTGGACAATTGGTGTTACTCAAGCTAACAGCTTAGTAAAGCAGGCTTTGTGTTTCAAGCGGTGTGTTTGGAATCCATAACCTCTGTAATAGACTGTGATGTATCATGAACTGTCTTCAGACCTCACAGCCCTCTGGAAACTGCTCAAGAACCAACCATTTCACTCAAGGCCAATCTCCCTCTTCTCTCCCAACCCACTGAGTGTCTAGGTGATGTTTAGGTGAGCAGACCCAGCACACACAGCACAACAGAAGACAACCCAAAAGCCAACAGAGCACCTGTGGGATCTGCTGAGGCTCCCACCAAGATGGCATCATAACCCAACTGCTGTCACCCAAGCCTCTGCATTCCCATTCCCACAGGTGTTATCCCATGAACACCCAGAGGCTGGCTGCCCACCAATCTTTACTCAGTTGGCTACCCAGACAACCTATCCTGCAATATAGCCCTTTCCTGAAATTATCACACTTCATTCCCTTTGACCTGAGTTTTTGGGTGGAGAGTGCTTCAGTTGTGTGATGAACTTCTGCAGTGGCCAGCTGGGGCTACAGAGAAACCCTGTCTCAAAAAGACCAAAAAAAAAAAAAAAAAAAAAAAAAAAAAAAAAAAAAAAGCTCTTTAAAATACTTTCCCCATGGCTCTCACACAAATTATAGTCCATGTAAATAGCTATTTCTCGCAAACGTAATTTACTATTCATGCTTATGGTTCCCCGAATTTCACGTCAAAATACTGCCAAATAACTCCTCTGGTGATTTTGAGTGGGACCTTGGGGGCTGTGACAGTTGACTTCAATTGTCAACCTGGCAGAATCTAGAATCATCTGAGATATGGTACTATGAACATGTCTATAGGGGATTATCTTGCTAATTAATGTGGGAAGACCCACCCACTGTGGGTAGCACATTACACAGGCAATCCTGGGCTTCCAAGAGTGGAAAAATCAAGTAGAGCGCTAACGTGTGCATTTATTGCTCTCTTCTTCAAACTGTGGGCTAACAGGACCATCTGCTTCAAGCTCCTGTTGCCTTGAATTTCCTGGCATGATGGGCTTTGCCTTGAACTGTGAGCTAAAATTAACCCTTTCTCCCTCAAGTTGTTTGACTCAGACTATTTTTATCACAGCAACAGGAAAGAAATTAGTGAATTAGACTATGAGTGGGAAGCCCATACAGCAAGCAACTGTGCCCTCATAAGACTCCAGAATTCTGGTTTTAGGCACATGGTTTGAAGCCAATATGTGCTGCTTAGGACTTGTCTCAGGAAATCAGAGGGGGAAAGAAACAGGGAAAGAGAGAGGACTACAAATAGAGAATGAGAAAAGGATGATGGAAATATTTGAGGGGTATGAACAGCAAGAACTACTAATAGCAAGAGAATACCAGAAAACCAGCATATCAGCAGAGGGAGGGCATCGAAACCACACTAGTATACTTGCTGCACTATTACTAGGGCTTTGGGCTGCAAGCATCGGCACACCCACAGGCATGTTCCTCTGATCTTTTTCACAAGAAGCCTAAAGACAGGTCTTGTTAGTACTGGTTCAGCAACTTGAGTCAGTATTTACATCTCTGTGATCCGAAACTTCTTCCCACAGTCATGAGTGCTACATGGCCACTCATAGCTAGATGGTGCCATGAAAGGTTATAAACAGATGTGGGGCCATGCAACCAACCCTCTGGCTCAGCAATAAAAAAATGAGCAACTGGGCTCTTCAGGCTGGCAAAATGGGGGGAAAAGGGGGTTGACTAGTCCCCTGACATGGACTCTACCTCCTTGCTCCCTGGCTGTAACCCCAAGACATGTAAGGAAACATGCAAATTCCCATATCATATAAGCATATGGGTTAAGACAGACTTTGTGTTGTAAATTATGTTTCATTTGTAACCCCCAAGAAGGTCTAACTACACAACTCCCTCTTACAAAAAAGGTCAGGCATTATAACAGGAATATAATCTGAATTGCTAGAAAACACAACCAAGTTCAAGACACTTATTGAACAATCTACTTACAAATAAATGGAGTATAGATGTAATAAAGAACAAAAGAAACAAATACCAGGCATGTATGTATGTATGTATGTATGTATGTATGTATGTATGTATGTATAGCAAGTGTGGATAAAACTTACAAGATTCCACTTCTACACATAGCACTTAAAAGAATCACTAAAGGTGGTGCACACCTTTAGTCCCAGCACTTGGGAAGCAGAGGCAGGCGGATCTCTGTTGAGTTCAAGGTCAGCCTGGTCTACATAGTGAGTTCCAGGCCAGCTGGGGCTACTGGGAGACCTTGTCTCAAAAAAGACCAAAAAAAAATAAAAAGAATCAAAATCTGTTTCTAAGAATAAATTATTACCTCAAGAAATTTTAGAAAGTTCAACCCTACAACTATCTCACTGAAAAAGTTATTTTTTCCTCAATGAAAATCTCCAAGCTACTAGAGGATAAACAAACAAGATCATTATCAATTTTTAAATTTGTTTTTTATGTATATGAGTATTTTGCATGTATGTAAGTATACCACATATGTCTCTGGTGCCCACAGAGGCCAAAAGGTATCAGATCCCCTGGAAATGGAGTTTTGGACAGTTGTTGGCTGCCATGTGGGTGCTAGGAATTAACCCAAGTCCTCTATAAAAGCAGCCAGTGCTCTTAACCATTGAGTCATCTCTCCAGTCCCTATTACCAACTTTTAAAAGATTCAAAGGAGCAGGTCAGGTGTGGTGAAGCACACTATTAATCTCAGCACTCACGAGGTAGAGGCAGGTGGATCTCTGTTTGAGGCCAGCCTTGTCTACATAGTGAGTTCCAGGCCAGCCAGAGCTAAATAGTGAGACCATGTCTTTAAAAAAAAAAAAAAAAAAAAAAAATTCAAGGGAGCTTAAATTAGGAAATCAGAGGCAGGGGTGGTGGCGCATGTCTTTAATCCCAGAACTTAGGAGGCAGAGGCAAGTAAATCTCTGTAAGATCAAGGCCAGCCTGGTCTACACAGTGAGTTCCAGGTCAGCTGGGGTTACAGGGAGACCGTGTCTTAAAAAGGACCAAAAGGGCGAAAAAAATTAGGAAGTCATAATTATTACTGAAAATCATTGAAGTCTGTATTAGCTTTCAGTAACACTAATGTATTAGGGGAAATCTAGAACCCAGCTTTCTTCAATAGCCAGTTAACAGCAAGATCTTCCAAAATCAGAGACAAGTTCTTAACTGTCTTCTTCAGGCTTAGCACTAGCAGGTCCCAGGATATGGCTTAGTCACCCTAATAGAGATGGTATGAGTCTCTGAACGGCAGTGAGAGATACAACAGCACATTTCTGATCTGTCCTTCCAAGTGTAGGCACAACTTTCATCTCTGATGCCAACAGCTTTTGTATCATCAATTCTTCCTTCAGACTGTTGTCCTTCTGATGGGGAAATGGGATATCAAAACTGAAATAAAACAAATATTTCACGAAGAAATTACTCAAATGTAAAGAAAAAAAGGCAAGACAAATGTTAGATGACACTCTTGAGGTTTAATTAACTCAACAGAAAATGATTGGAGAGTCAACTATGCCAGGTAGGCACTGTGCTCAGAACTGACGACACAAAAGTCAACAAAGACTCCTTGCCATTCTGAATGTGTCAAGCAGCTTTGTGGAAATATGAAACATCTACGGCATTAACTTATAATGAGTAAAGGTTCATTTGGGCTCATGGCTCCAGTCCAAGATCACCAGCAATTAAGGGGTATGTACCACAGCAGGAGTGCAGGGAAGAGCAAATCACTCACTTCATGATCAGATAGGGCTGGGATCCCTTTACGAACGTGCCTCCAATGACCTGAGGACTTTTTACTAGACCTACAGCACCCTCAAGCAGCACACTATGAACACAGACCTTTGGGGGATATCACCCACATTCAAACCACAGCAACCACAGTGAGTCCCTATATCCAGCTTGAAACTAAGTGCTATTAAAATAAATAAAAAGATGATGCTTTCCCTAAAATATTCACATTTAGAAAGAAAGTACTGGAAAGATGGCTCAGTGGGTAAAAGCACTTGCCACCAAGCCTTAGGACCTGAGTTCAATCACTGGAACCCACATAGCAGAAGGAGAGAACCAACTTCTACAAGTTGTCCTCTGATCTGTACATGTGTGTAGTGGCAGCACATGTGTTAATGTGCATGTGCACACACACATACACACAGACACACAAATAAATGTAATTAAAAAATTTGAAAAAGAAAGTATTAAGAAACACTGAGCAAGCAGCAAACAGCATTTGACAACCCACTGATCTACTGGGAAATAGCATGTTTTACCTCATGAATTTCTTAGGTACGAGTGTTTCAAACATTCCAGAATTCTAATAAACCAAGGTCTAAGTCTCTGCTCTGACTGTGGTTACTATGAGCTTCATTTTCCTCAAATGTAAAACAAGTTAATATTTGCCTTTTTTTTTTTTTTTTTACTGTTTAGGATACTGCTATAAATATGAAAGTCATCCATCAATATCCACAGAGGATCTGTTCCAGGACTCCCAAAAATACGAGAAGCCACAGGTACTCAAATCCCTTTAAAACAATGGCATGGTATGTGCACACAATCTACAAGTGCTCTGTAAGTAGTTGCTACAATATACTGTTTAAGAAAAATTTAAAAGAAAAATGTCTGCATGCTCAGAACAGATACAGGAAGCTTTGTTGTTATTGTTTGCTTGTTTTTCAAACACTTCCATGTACATTTGGTTGAACCAACATACGCAGAACACATAGTTATGTAGGGCCACCTCTACCTCACAAGTTAAAGAGTGCTACACGAATGTTTTTAGAATTAAACACTTCACACACAGCTGCATTTTTTAAAATATTTTATACACAGAATAGTCGCATGTAGTATGATGGTTAGACTGCATCTATTGCCTAGCTCTTTCTGAGCCTCTCAAAATTTCAGCTATCTGGGGCTGGAGAAATGGCTCAGTGGTTAAGAGCACTGGCTGCTCTTGCAGAGAACCCCAGTTCAGTTCCCAGCACTCACATGGTCGCTAACAACCACTCATAACTCCAATTCCAAGGGGCCCTCTTCTGGCTTCCATGGGCATTGCATACATGCAGTATACTTATGTACACGAAGGCAAAATACTCACACATAATAGAAAAATAAACCATTTTTTAAAAAATTTCAGGTATCTACTTCATACTGCAGAAAGCAACATCAACTTAGCACTCGACTAGGACAAACCATTAAAAACATTTGTATTTTTCAAATTGTTTTATTTCATAGTAAGCTAATAGCAAACACAAGCATGCAAAATTGGCAAGAAAAGAAAGATTAACAAAGATTAACATTAAAAATAGCAGAAAAAAAAAAAAAACTGATAGGCCTGCTATGGTGACTCACACCTGTAATCCCAGCACTTAGGAGACTGAGGCAGGAGAATTTCCACAAGTTCCAGGCCAGCCTGGGCCACTGTGTGAGATTTTGTCTCATAAATAAATGAACTAGAAAACAATATAGCCCATCCTGCATAATTACTTCAAGAGAACTAGCATGTGACACTCAATCATAAAGAGCACAGGAAAAAAATGAATTAATGTTTATTTTTACAGCTCACCCTTGACGTTTCTGGACTAGAAAATGGAGAAGGCTCCCATGATCTATTTTCTTTGTCAAAGGAATCATCTTCTTGAAATGCAAATTTCTGCTTAAGTGCATTTGATATTAAAGACACTGGATCCCAATGTGAACTCTGTCTTTTCCTCATGTGAATGGGTCTACCACCCGGTGACCTATTTAAAAAAAAAAACAGTCAGGGGATTGAATACATTAAAAGTGATACAATTTTAGATTTCCTGTGTTTACAAAGATTAACAGGATTACAAGCACAATATATTATAATCTTTAATATTGAATTGAGAAATCTAGAGAGCCCTGTAAAAACCAAGAAACCATAGTGTTCTATAAGGACTGTCCTCCCACAGACAAATGCCATCTTCTTAACCTCAGCTGCACCCATTTGCCTAAAATCATCATAGCTGGTTTTGATAACTGCTGGAGCCCCAGCATAGGAGGGGATGGGAGAGTCACAGGACCCTCACCTAGGAGTCCAGCTATACCTCTCAACCCATGATGAGCAATTCTGCCCTAATCGCCCATGGCCTGGAGGAAGGGCTAGAGTATATACACTGAGGAAGACCAAGGGAGGGGCTCTCCCCATTTTATGCCACTTGGGAAATCCATCTTCCCTGCTTGAGTGAAGACTCTGGTGCTGCCTTAAGAGGGGGAAGCACCCACACTCCTGTAAGTAAACCCTCAGCCATTGCTCTTTAAGTAAGACCAATAAACTCAATGATTTCTCAGTGTATTTTGGTGGAATCCCATCTCAGTTTTTCCTTGGAACCAAGGTAGGAAAAGGTAGATGTGTATATCCTGCCCCTATCCCCGCTCGCCCCCAACGGAGTGTAGGGGTTGGAGCGTCCCAAAACCTTGCTATAACCTGGGATTACTCACTATCACTGTGCTAAAAGCCTTATTTTTATTTTATTTTTTGTCTTTTTGAGACAGGGTCTCCTTGTAGCCCCAGCTGTCCTGGAACTCACAACGTAGACCAGGCTGGCCTCGAACTCACAAAGAGCCACCTGCCTCTGCCTCCCAAGTGCTGGGATTAAAGGCGTGCAACACCATGTTTTTAATCTTCTAATTTTGTACAGGGTAAGATTTTCTTTTTTTTTTTGGAGACAGGGTCTGTAGCCTGGAATTGACTAGGAACACCAAGCTGGCCTCAAACCTGCAACAATCCTGCCTTTGCAGGAGAGCATCACCACATCCTGCACCACTGGGTAGGAAAATATAAAGAAATATTTGAGAACCTTTGAAAAACCAGATTGCATGAGAATACCATGCATTAGGCTAAGTGCTCATTAATTTGGTCATTCATTCATTTAGTCTTCATTGAATTACTGCTATTTCATCATGCTACTCAAAACAGCACAGTTTAAACCTTGGGAATTATTTCTGGAACTTTCTATTGACTATTTTCAGACTGTAGCTGATCTTACAAAAAGTAAAATGGTAGATAAGAAGGAACTCCTATATTCCTAATCCTATACAGCAGAGAGTAAGTTTAATTAACATATCAAAAATAGCAAAAGTATAAGACAATAGAAGAAACAGCCAAGAAAGAATTCAAAGTGATTGTCTCTGAGAAGGTATTCATAGGTGGTAAGCAATAATAAGTAAGATATAAATGCCAAATTTCATCAACATAATTTCTTTGAAACCAATATTGATAGAATTTTGGCTTGCTTCCCAAATTCTGACAGCATACCTTTCAACAGCACGAAGCTTGACCTTATTCATGTCCTTCAGAACATCCAACATGTTTGAAACATCATTACTGCTCTGGGTTTTTGAATGGCTAGATATAATCTTATCAACACCTGAGAGCTGCTCTTCCATTTCAGTTGCTGGCTTATCTAAGTCACAAGGATTAGCAGATCCTGGCTCTGTCAGAGAAGGAACAAATGTAGGCTGAGGAGAAGAAAACTGAGGAAGTGGCGGGGGAGGAGGAGGACAAAGTACTGCACTTGGAAAGTGATCTGGTCCTGCACTCTGCAGAGTAGTCCCCAAGGATGATGGCATTTGTTCCAGATTGGGTTCCTCATTCAAGTCAAAGAAACCTAAAAGCAAAGCAGTCAGTTAAAAAACTATGTACAATTCAATATATAACACTAGTGAGACTCGAGCCAGTGACAATTTCTATAATGCTACAGAACTAGTGATATGATCCCATCTGCTTAGTAATTTCTCTAAGTCAATCTGAATTCTCAGTCCATTTCTAATCCAATTGGGACATATCAGGGAACACCCTAAAGGATGTATTTTTTAAAATGTGTATTTTTTATTGAACTTTTATGCATTTCATACAACATATCTTTTTTAAAACTTTATTATTTTTATGTGTATGAGTGTACTGCCTGCATGTAAGTGCAACCCATGTCGTACAATGCCCGCAGAGGTCAGAAGAAGGCATTGGATTCACCCAGAACTGGAGTTATGGATGGTTGTTAGCCACAATGTGGGTGCTGGGAATCAAACCCAGGTCCTCTTAACCACTGAGCCATCTCTCCAGCCCCACATACAATATATCTTAATCATATTTAGACCCCTCCCCCATAGCTCACCCACAGGATTTCATGCATTCTGTTAAGTATGTTAAGGCCTATCGAGTCAAGTTTATATACCCAGGTGTCCTTGGTGTGAGTTCATCCACTGGAGCCTGGTCAGCCTATCTAACGTCACTCTCCCTCACCCGGCAGTAATCAGCTGCCAATAGTTTCTTGGCTAAGGTTGGGGCCTCCTGCCCATTTCCCCAGTTCTATGCTGGTTTTAATTTGACTGAGTTTGCATGGGTCTTGTGCATGCTGACACCATTGCTATAGATTCATATGAGCAAATTTGCAGGGGCCTAGAGGACTGTTTCCTTATTTCATGCACTAACCCTGGCTCTTAAAATCTTTCTGCCCCCTCTGCTGCAGTGGTCCCTGAGCCTGGGTGGATGAAGTTTAATTAAACAGGAGTCAGGGACACACACTCTACAGTCTCTAATATTCTCTACATTTTGGTCAGTTGTGGCCTTTTGTATTCATCACCCTCTGTTGCATGAGGAAAGCTCACTAGTGAAAGTTGAGAGATGCATTAGTATTCTATCAACTATTCCCTATGTTCTGTAAGTCTTAGGTGTAGAAGTTCCAGAGAAAATAAAATGACTTTCTAGCAATCTATATAAAATCTGAACTTCTCTCCATTTTTAAAACCAAAATATTATTAACAAGTTGTAGCTAGAAACACTCAAACTGATATATTCACTCTAAAATGGCATTTGAGAAATAACTATATGATTTTCTAAGCAGTAACTAAAGATGAGTAGAGAATACTTAACCTTTTCATAAATCTGTTTCTAAAGAACTGTAAGTAAACATTCTTGCTTTTTTAAAAAAAACCTGTATTTATGTATCTTTATATTTATTTTATTTATCTACATAAAGTATTATAGATTAAGACTTAATTATATATAAATTGTTATAAATACATGTATGAAATACAACTTATATGTGCATATATTATGTACATATATAAATACACACATATAAATGTTTTAGTAATCATATTCACAGAGCCCCTTGCAACCAAAAAGTTCAGTACTTATATTGCTTTAAATTTCATGCCTTTTTTTTGTCTTTTCGACTCACTATATAGACCAGGCTGGCCTTGAACTCACAAAGATCCACCTGTCTTTGCCTCCCAAGTGCTGGGACTACAGGCGTGCACCACCACACCTGGCCTAAATTTCATGGCTTTTTAAAGATTTATTTTTTCAGTTTTAAATTATGCATTTGTGTGTCTGTGTTGGGGTCTCTGTATATGAGTGCAAGTGTCATTTGAAGCATGAAGAGGGTTTCAAATTCCCTAAAGCTGGAGTTAGAAGTGGCTGTGAGCTGCTTAACATGGGTGCTGGGAAACAAACTCAGGTCCTCTGCAAGAGCAGAACACTGTCTTAACATGAGCCACCTCTCTAAACCCTAAATTTTATGTTTAAAGCAATATACATCTGCATAAACTTAGAAAAGGACCATCTAGAAAATACTACTTACTTGAACTTGATGAAAGTATAACATAAAAAACTAAAGGCTACAAATACGCACAGTCTCAAACCTACCCTCTTTCAAGCAATGAATTCTCTCTCTCTTTGATCTGTAATTTTTTCTTTTTCATTCATTTAAAAAATATACACTTATGTATTTATTATTTGGGGGCTTTGGTTTTTTTGGCTGGGGTGTGTGTGTGTGTGTGTGTGTGTGTGTGTGTGTGTGTGTGTGTCAGAGAGACAGAGAGAGAGAGAGAGAGAGAGAGAGAGAGAGAGGTTCTCATGAGGTTGACCTCAAATTCCCTGTGAAGCTGAGGATGATCTTGAACTTCTGACCCTCTGGCCTCCAGTTCCCAAGTGCTAGAATTACATATGTGCATGACCATGCCCTATTTTATTGATGCTGGGAAACTAAACTCAGAGACTCATGCACGTGAGGCAAGCATCCTACCAACTGAGCTACATCCCTGGTCCCTTATTTTTTGGATTTTGAGAGGTCTCACTCTATAGCCCAGGCTGGCTTGGAATGAGGCAATTCTCCTGACAGCCTCTTGAGTGCTGGGATTACAGGCATAAACCATCATTCAAATTCTTTGCTGAAGGATGAGAAACACTTAGAAGACATATTTTAACACAAAAATCCTATACACCAATACCATCCTCTTTACATATCTTGATTTACTCTGAATAAATATCACTTAAATTTATATGCCAATCAACCTTTTATGATAGTTAACGTTGTCTACATAAATTCAGAAAGGTACTGACTTAAATATCAATTCAGTACTATTCTAGAAGAAATAAAATTCCAGTACTACTCACCAGACTTTGCACCATTTCTCAGTTCCTGCATTTCCACAATAGTAGCAATCTGAGACCGAAGAAAAGTTAGCTCATCTTCAAGGGCTGCTATTTTTTTAATTGCAGCCTCACTTACTGGAAGATCATATTTCACTGCTTTGTGCTGTCTTAGAGCAGGTGACAATGGAATGAGTTTTGAAGGGTGGAAAATATCAATTTTTTCTTCCTCTTCATTTTTCCATATACAATTTCTGTGGTTAGAGAAAAAGAAGAAACAAAGAGGGAAATATTCAATCAAAAAACAAATACAGGCTACTGCCATTGCATTTAGCTGCCTACTACCTATAGCTAAAGAAACCATACTTTGGTCACAGGACTTGGAGAAATCAAGCTGTTACTGACATAGAAACCTCCTCTTGATGGCCAACTTTCCTATCATAGTGCCATAAGATGCCAGGCCAGCTGCCAGGAAAGAAAAGTACCAACAGTCTTACCCAGCTATGACCCTGAGAACTATGATGGCTGGTCCACATAGGCCCATTGGTGCAATCTTGGCAAAAACATCTTCAGGGGTAGCCAACAACTGTATGGATTCCAGGTCCCTCAACAGGAGGGAACTCATGCCTGGTACTATAAATCTGATGAAGAACCTGTGGCCAGAGATGTCACAGACCCTAAGGGAGAACCCACTACTATCATTTTGCTAACTACCTTCTAACATTATCCTTATTACCCCTGGAGATTAGTCCAGCCCACATTCCTCATCAGAAAAGCTTCTTCTGCAATGGATGGAGGTTAACAAAAAGAATCATAAATGATCAAAATGTAGAGAATAAGTGACTACAGAATGCTCATTCCCAAATGGGACGTCTATACCATGTCTCCTCCCCCTAAGGCTCAAGGAACATCCAAGAAGACAAGACAGAAAAGACTGTAAGAGTCAGAGGACAGGGAGGACAGTTACAAAACAGCATCTTCTGGATGTGACAGGTAGTTGCACTCATAAACTCTCAATAGCTGTGGTTGTCTACAGAAAACCTTCACAAAATCAATTTAGTCAATATTCCAGCATGAACGGGGAGAGGGTATCACAAGACCCCACTCCAAGTGGAGAAGCTACAGGCAGTTGACAACCTGCCAGGAGAGAAAGAAGAGAGTAAGCTTTGTTCAGAGGTGGAGCCCCTGATAGGGGTAACCTGATAGGTTGCCCATGTGTAGCCCAGAAATTACTCATTCCTCCAAAGAGCGTGGGTAACTGGTGAGCATGGGACACTCTGGGAAGAGGAGTGGAGCCGAGCCATGGAGAGATGGAGAGTTAGGCTGCAGCGAGATTGGAACAAAAAAGGAAAAGTGTATGGCTGCAAGTGTGTGGCTGCTGGGGAGAACAACAGAGGCATCCTGTGGGGGCATGGATGCAAGATGGGACACTCATAGACTGTGGGGCAAGGCTGCACTGTGGGAGAAAGCTAACAGAGACTGTGGGCAGGGCTTGAATGGTGTGGGGATTAAGAGAAGCCATTTCTTTGTAAGTCATCCCCTCCCAAATGTATAAACTATGCAAAATTCAGATAAAAATGTGTTATGCCAGTTTGTCGATCCACAACAGAACCATGAGACCGAGTGAGTGAGGGTGGGTCAAACAGAGAGTGGGAAGGGGAAAATTAAGTGCACACCATGCTACAGTGGACAGCCCTACACCCATAGGCACAGGGGCAACACTAATTGCATCCAGAAGTCTTTTACACATGCACATAAAAGAGGACACAAAGTTGGGAGGAGGATACAAGAAAGGAGCACAAGAGGAATTGGAGTGGGAGGGAGTGGTGAATTTGACCAAAATAAAAAGCATTCATGGAAGCCGGGCATGGTGGCCCTCACCTTTACTCCCAGCACATGTGAGACAGAGGCAGGCAAAGCTCTGTCAGTTTGAGACCAGCCTGGTCTACATAGTGAGTTCCAGGCCAACTGTGGATACAGGGAAACCCTGTCTCAAAGACCCCCCCCAAAAAAAGCATTTACAAATGAAGGGAAAAAAATATTTTTTAAATGGGAAAAAAAATTAATGTATACAAAGAAAAATGGCTAAAGAAAAATGAGAAAGCAGTATTCATCACATTGGGGAATCAGGACACTGCAGATTACAGAGACAGAACAGAAACAGCCGATCAGTAGAACAAACTTCAAGATGCACAAGAATTCAAGCTACACACTATACGCCCTTCCCTAAATAAGCATATAAGTTACCGAAATCGGGAGTAACTGGCTTCTTCATCATTTGCCACAAACAAAATATCAGCAAAAGATGGAACCATAGATCCACGATTATCAGACTCCACAGAGTTCAAGTGCAGGATCAACTAAAATAAAAACAGAGGAAAAAGTCAACTCTAAGGAATTAGGGGAAAACACATGCTTCATGCTCCATCACATTAAACAGGTTAACAGACCAAAACAGGGGGAAGGAAAAACAAATATGCAATAGAAAACATGTAGCTGTTAGCAAAAAAAAAAAAGCTAAGAAAATGTTATTCTACATTCTAAACATAAAACATTCTCCCCTCTTGGCTAATATCACACAACAAAAATATAAAATAAAATTAAAATAAAGATAAAACAATCTCCTTAGGTATTCTTTGTACCTGCCCATCTTGGAATGTAATATTTAAAGAAATTAACATGTGTGGAATGACTTCTTTCTAGGGATAAACTAAAGGCTTACAGGTCACACTTATTCCTTTGTCCTTCTGTCCTATATACCCTGGGATCAGTTTATATACAGGGCTTAAATAATGTATGGTGACTAACTTACCTCAAAATTAGGTCTTCGACAAGGTTCTAAGGGAAGCATTTTCCCAATAATGCGAATGATGCTCCGAGCTGAACCATAGTCTTTATTTTGCCAAATCAGCAAAACCTATGAATAAAGCTTTATTTAAAATGACACTCGAAATAAGCATGCTGTTTATATATTAGAAAAAAGGAGACAACAGATGTAGTAACATTTATTTCTGAGCCGGGTGTGGTGGCACACATCTTTGATCCCAGCACTCAGGAGGCAGAGGCAGGTGGATCTCTGTGAGTTCAAGGCCATCCTGGTCTACATAGTGAGTTCCAGGCCAGCTGGGGCTAAAAGAGACCCTGTCTCAAAAAAAGAAAAAAATTTGTTTCTAAAATGAAAATATAAAATAGCTTATTCTTAAAGTATCTTCCTAGAATAATTAAACTTTATTAAATCTTGAAAGAAATTAGGGCTAGTAAGATGGCTCAGTCAGTAAAGTACTTGCCATGCAAACATGAGGACCCGAGTTTGCTCTCCAAAACCCATGCAAACCCATTCAGTAGTATATTAAATTAGCTGGTAAATGGGCATAGTGACAAACTCCTGTAATCCCAGTGCTAGGGAGGCAGAGAAACGTGGAACCACTGGGCTGGCTGGCCAGTCAGCCTAGCTGAGCTAGAGGATCTCAGACCACTGAGAACCCTGTCTCAAGAAAAAAAAA